ATATATATATATATATATATATATATATACATATACATATATACATATATATCATGAATAGCTAACCTCCATCGGACTTTGAGTCTGCTTTGACGTTTTCCCTGCATAACTTGTAAGTGATGCCCCACCCAGCAACTGAAGCACCAGCAAAAACCAACGCTGGAACTACTGCCAATCCTGCCATTTTACTACTGATTAAGGTACGCGTATCCAACTCAACAGGTGTGACTGCATGGACTATGTTATTACTCACTGCTATAAACATTCGTACCGCCATATGAACGGTTGATCACGTGATCCATTTCCCCTCAACAGGACTACGTATTTACAACCTCTCTTATATAATATTTAAAAAATAATATTTGACTGAGAGTCCAGACTCCAGAGGTGACCAGTCAACCTGACCATATCCCCAAAAAGATAAAATTTACTAATAAGGACTGTTGGGTTTCGGGTTTGTACCCTCAACTGGAGGCATAACCTCTTAACTTATGAACAGTAAGCCTAAATTTTTTCTTTTTTTAGGAGGCTATGCTGGAGGCCATGCAAATTGCAACATAATGATGATATGTATTATTTAAGGAGGCTATTTTATGACATAGTCTGAGAATACATAGTTCAATTTACCCTCAACTGGAGGCCATGCAAATAGAAACATAATGATATGGTTCATAGTCTGAGAATAGTTCATTTTTCTGAAAATTATGTGGCTATGAGCCTTTGTTTCTATCATTACGAGTTTAGTCGTGAACCGTAGACGATCATATAACCATCATTCCCTCCACACATGGTACCACGCCACTCACAACTACTACACCACAGTCGTTAACGCAGCACACATGAACGATCAACGCGTTCGCTGTTGCTCGGAAGAGTTTGGTTGATCAGCCCCGCAGTCACTATCCTCAGCCGAGAGACTGTTGTATCACCGGCAATGCGCGTCAGAGTCACAGGCCACTTAAGATGTCTAATCGTGTGCACAATAGATGCCGGTTTTAAGTCTGCAACGGCTGTAGGTACGGCGATTCCAGTCGCAGGGGCAGCTTGTAGAACCCAGGAAATAAACCACTATTTATGTACGTATTCACACGGTCAAAGGCTGAATCTATTGCTTTTTAACGTTTAGTACTAATGATAACAAAAATAGACATATACATAGTTGAATTTAGGAGGCTGTGACATATTACATAAAACTGCGCATCATGTGATATATATTCCCATATCCAGAGTTACCGCCATACGTCACTGAACGTTACGATGGTGTATTTGACAGTGTCCAAAGGTCACCACGTGTGGCTTAGCTTCGTATTACCATCTCTAAGATTAGGTGTTATAGTATAAGCCTACTTTCGTATTACCATCTCTAAGATTAGGTGTTATAGTATAAGCCTAGCTTCGTATTAAAATCTCTGAGACTAAGTGTTATAGTATAAGCCTAGCTTCGTATTACTATCTCTGAGATTAGGTATAATAATATAAGCCTAGCTTCGTATTACCACCCCTGAGATTAAGTGTTATAATATAAGGCATTTCATTCGTTTTATTGACTATCTTCCCTAATATCGCACTTGAGTAATTAATAAGCTCCACATAGTCTCCCCTATAGCTCACTAAAGGCAGGGATGTCCTTGCCTGTGATCACTTTGCGGTCAACGCCACTGGCGCTGATGGATGCCAAACGAATCACACCTCCAGACGACCCATCTCGTGCCATGGCCAGCGCAATCGCTGTGGTCAGAGGAATTGAAGGTTGAGAGTGATACATGGGGAATTTGAACTGATATCGTGTATCTATAAAAGTGTTCCTTTATATATGTATATATATATATTGATATAAACGCACACACGCACACGCACACGCACACGCACTATATATATATATATATATATACTTGTTGTTCTTACAGCGCGTACTGCTGTCTTAAATATACATTAATATATAGCTATAAACTGATTAACTCACCATTGGCTGCGAATACCTCGC